CATCCCTTTTCTATTCCTTTATTTTCAACCACCCTGAAGATCGTGAATTCTAGACCAGCTGTGGTCCATGCCCTTGGGGTGAAGTTGAGGACACATTCTATTCAGCCCAGATTCTGTTAACAGGTAAACAACGCTTGGCAAAGACATACACATGTAATAGCAGCAAAGAAGTTACTGAAGACAAGTCACATCACCATTCATACTGGTTTTGCTGGTGTATTTATTTCTACATTCATTCTCCAAAGACTTACCGCGATACCGTGGGAACAGACAGCCTTCACCATCCTGAGCTTTGCAATAAGGAAGCTGCTTGCCTCAGATGTAATTTTATTAGCCACATTTGTTTAGCCTGACATTTCAGGCTGCTGGGAACACACTGGCTGGAGTCTCACAGCACCTAGACTAGAGCCTGACACCAAGAGAGAAGATACTAACTCCCTTGGAAATAAAGACCACCCTTGACCTCTGCCTGCGGAGTCAGGGCGGTCAGTGGTTACGGGGCTCCTTTCTGCAGGACAGGGTACTACAATCAGCATCGCACAGGGGGTGCATTTGCAAAAGGGCCTCGTGCTGGCACTTCGATTATTGCATGAAATGTTTCTTCACTTAATTACATGCATAGAGAAAAGATTTTAGATGCTCCTAGCAATTCCATTAGACAGCTGCACCAATGAAAGATTGTTCTGTAGGACTGAACATGATTGATTGTAGGTGGAGAAACAGAAGCTGTTTTAAAAACCTGGCTTAACTGTTCTTTTGCCTAGACATCATTTACAAGAACACAAGGTTGTAACTAGCTCATTCCAAAACCTGAAAAGACATCTAAAACAGATTTTTGAGATCTAAAACACTCCTCTAATAGATTGGGTGGGATTTTCAAAAGCACCCAGCATGTGTCTAAAACTCCGGCAGAAGTCTGTTTTACAGTGCCTGAGAGGGGACTTCAGCCAGTGCCGAGGACCTCTGACGACCCCACCCAAACTGCAGCAGTATCACTGAATTGCTAAACGACAATGAAGGGTTCAGTCAACAAGTTCTACGACAACTTCTACAACTACATTTTTCCTCCAGAACAAGTCTACTTTTCGGAGGTACACAACGCCCAAATATGTGGGATGGAAGAGCAAACCACTGCCTACTCTACACAGGCTGCCCTCTGCATGCTTAGAGGGTGGGTAGGGCTCACCCTTGCATCCGCAATACTGTCCTTCCCTGAATATCTGCACTGTTTTTCACATGTTGCAACTCTATAGACATGGATGGGAAGGCTTTGACTGGGACAACATATTATCCATTCTGCAAATCCCACAGGGGATTAATTCCATAGGCAATATTACTTCTGCCTACATGGCTGGGTTGGAATCGCTGCAACTGAGCTAGAACATTAAACAATATCCTGAAATCTGGATTTCCTCAAAGTTATCATCCCTCCCGAGAACTCCCATGCTCTGCTTCGCCACCCCACTGGAAAAACCCAGGAATCCCTTTCTCTTTCTACTGCCCTTACTTTTTTCCTCCCAAACCAGATGAGCGATACGGCTCATTTCAGGCAGACATCTATGCAAAACGAACTTGAAGATATTAAATTCAAGTCCTAGTTTGACTGTCTACGTCAGAAATTTGTTCCTAAGTGTAAGTAACAGATTACAAAGCTTAATCAAATAACCTGATATCTCCCTTAAACAGGAGAAGTGGGAAGATCCTGAAGAAGAGGTGCCTCTGAAGATAACCACAGGAGCTATGACTAAGCAGAACTCAGTTCTCACCAGTAGCTGGTGATTCATGTTCATGATTTTCAAAGACATTAGAAGGATTTCCACAAATAAAAAGCATAAAAGTATAAAGCTTGTAAAAAGTACTGGACCTGGACAATTTCTCTTAATATAGAGCCCAATGTGGTAATAAAAATACTGTATATGTAGCCAATAAACAGTTTTATATTATCACAAGGACAGAAAACAACAGTGTTGAACCAGAAATATCAGTTTGGACTCTTATCTATTTGGTAATTGGTAACTCTGTTTAAATAAGGCACAAATATTAGCCTTTTTAAAAGATCACTGATAGTAAGTGGAAAAGATTCTGTAATATTACAGACTTAAAAATGTACCTACAGTTAAATTCAACATAGATATAAGACTGAGTTATTTTTGAACACATACAAGGTTCAAAACCAAAAAAGACACACTATTTAATGACTGTAAACACTCTATGGGCTTTATAAATAGCAAGGAAAGAATGTGGCATAAGCACAGTAACTAGCATTTTGATGGCAACTGAAATAAAAATAATTCTAAATTTAATTTTACCTTCCATCTTTTAGCTTAGCTGTTTACTTCTTTTCAGCATGCATTTTCACTCAATGAAACAGTGAATTATTACCACGATGCACCGATTTTGAAAGATTCCACTATCAAACTTTCAATTTTATGGTCCTTATAATAACTTTAAGAATATTAGCAGCCTCACACGGCTTCCATATTTTTCCCACAAAGGTGAGAATGGGACAATCTATGTGATATTCAGTGCCTAACTCTCATGTAAAGCCAGTAAGATTTATTCCATCAGAGAGGCATTTCTGAAAACCATTTTCTGGCATGTGGATGCCTCATCCCTGGAAACATTCCAGGTCAGGTTGGACGGGGCTCTGAGCAACCTGATCTAGTTGAAGATGTCCCTGCCCACGGCAGGGGGGTTGGACTAGATGACCTTTAGAGGTCCTTCCAACCCAAACTATTCTATGATTCTATGACTTAGGTGTTTGATGGTTTTGAAAGTAATGGTAGCCATAATTTCTGATTTTTTTCTATTTTTCCCCTTAAGGAAAAATTACCTTTAATATATGAAGAAAATAAAACATCATCTTAGATGGAACCGTGGACAGAAACACCATGTCAGATGCAGAGGAAAAGGAAAGGTGAATCTTGAAATTCTCATCAACAAAATGCAAGGACATGAATGAGAAAGAGTGAGAAGTGCTACAAGAACACAGACCTCTGTGTTGCCCGTCTTCTCTTAGACACACTTGGCAGCACTACATTTGGGTAATGTTTAGTACCAGCAAAAGAGAAGTATTCCCTCTACCGAGTCACTAATACCACCTCTAAACAAGTATGCGTGAGGTTGCACTGCAGCTTTCTCATCTGAACAGCACCTGAGCCACCTGGTCTGACCCACCTGGAAAGGTTACAGCTAAGACTTTAAATAATTTTTATGATACTTTTGATTTTAATAGTGCAAAATATTTTGCCAAATAGCATGTTATTAAAAAAAAAAAAAACCACTTC